TATAGCAGCAGGAGATTATGATTGTGATATGGCCAAAGCAGTATTACCATAGAGCTAATTACAAGGGCACAGGAATAGATACAGGTAGTCTTCGACTTACAACAGTTCATTTAGTGATAGTTCAAAGTTACATCACTGAAAAAAGTGACTTATGATTATATTCCCAGTTACAACCATTGCAACATCCCCTTGGTCATGTGATCAAAATTTGGATACTTTGCAACTGGTTCCTTTTTATGACTGTTTCAGTGTCCCGGAGTCATGTGATCAGCTTTTGTGATCTTCTGACAGGCAAAGTCAATGGGAAATCCAGATTCACTTAAGAACCGTGTTACCAACTTAAGAACTGTAGCAAGAAAGGTCGTAAAATGGAGCAAAATTCACTTAACAAATGTTTCACTTAGCAGCATAAATGTGCTAAATTGGGGTCATGTGTCGAGGATTATCTCTACAAAAATCTCTGGCCAAGACAAAAGGATTCCTCCTCAAACAGTTCCAAAACATTTTGCCACGTCAAAAGATAAAATGTTGCCAGCACCCTCCATCATGTCCCAGGCTGAGAGGGTAGAAAGTGGGCCATGTGGCACACCGAGATGTATTTTAATAGAAATGTGCATCTGGAAGAATTGGAGAGTAAACTAATGGAGCTCTTGCTCCTTCCTCCTGCAGCACATATTTAGGTATTAGAGCCGGAAGTGGCAGTCTCACTCTGCCTAACAATAGGCCAGCCTTGAAACCAGTTACATTTTCATGGCAAAGATATTCTGCTGACTGGAATTTGAATTCCATTTGGATTTTTAAGTAAGTGTAGATACTTTTAACGTAATGTATGACTCTTCCTCCCTTAACATTTGTTGTCTTCTAATTAAAGAAATTGATTCCCTTACTCTTTATATTCCAGTCAACAAACCTTTTAATCAATTTAATTATACTTGCCCTCCTATAATTAAAGAATTTGGTCTCATTTTGGTTTTTCCCTGTATTCTGAGCAGACCACAAACACTGTGTGCTTTATAAGTCTGGTTTTTAGGGACCCATTATCGGGGCAGGAAAATCTGATCTAGCACAATGGTTCTCAACGTTTCTAATGCTGCGACCCCATAATACAGTTCCCCATGTTGCGACCCCATAATACAGTTCCCCAACCACTTATACATCACCAGGTGCCAGGGGCGTGGCCAAAGAAAAGGGGAAAAAATGGCGGACAGCCTTGTTTGGTGACCCCCGTGAAATGGTCGTTCGACCCCAAATGGTCGTTCGACCCCGACCCACAGGTTGAGAACCACTGATCTAGCAGAAGGGAATTGTTGCAAATAGATCAAAAATATAGAGAATGTAACACTGTAAATGTCTTCAACAGATGACACATATGTGCTCTTTTCCTTAGCCTCCCCCCATAGGAATAAGTCTTCTCTTAATTTTATTTATTTAATTTATATGCTTGTTTATTTATTTCTATAAGTCTTCTCTGCAACAGAAAGGAGAAGCACACAGGTTTTGAGGCACAGGTCAGTACCATTTCCTGCCTGGTTAACAGAGACAGCCAATTTTCTGTGTTAGCTACTGTTCGGAATAGGAATTAAGATATAGTTTCTTGTTATGTGCATCCAAGTCTCTGTGGAGTTGTAGTCTAGTTTGTGCCTGCTTTGGGTAAGTCTGACATCCATCATCCTGTCTCCTCTTCCACACTGTCTGTTTTATTCCCCCTGAAGACTTAAAACTTGTTTCTCCTAAGAAACAACCTGAAAGCCATTCCACTCCAAATCTGTAATCACTACAAGCTTGCACTTGTTTAGCATGGCATGTCACTCTAGTCACTGTTGTCTGAAAACCTGGTTTATGATTAGAACATTGAACACAGCAAATCAGTTATTATGGAATTCATGGCTTAGCATGATGAATTTTGTAAGATCAAATCAAGTATCAAACTTTCTGAGGGCAGAGCTTGCAGACTCACTTATCCTATATTAATTCCTTAAACAGCAGCAAACCATGATTACTCTTACCTGTGAAAGCCCATATTGCCCAGACATTTGCCACATTTGTATTTATGTCCTTCTTTCACAGAAGGAACTGCCCTGCCACTTATTTATTTTTTTCATAGTCTTATCTTTAATTTCTGCATACTTCCTGTTTTAACATAGCACTTGTCTTTTAAATACTTACTAAAATGTCTATTAATACCTATTTTAATATTCCTAACTATGTTTTCTGTGTATTTTTTTTTCAAGTGGAAAGCCAATTTTCCTAAATTACAACTGGGTTTTCTTCAGTCTCTGATGCAAGCCTAGAATGTATTTGTTAGAATTTTTATGCCATCTGGGCATTTCAAAGAAGGATTATGTTAACTCAGTATAAGGATAAAGGTTTGCAGTGGGGAAACCCAACATGATCAGATTTTCAACCTACAAACTGTGAAGGGTACCTTGTGCTGCTTTTTCAAAGTCTGCAAAATCACAGAAAAAGGGAAGTCCATTCAAGGCCAAAGTGAAAGGAATAGTACACACCACTCATTATAACATTTACAGGAAATGAATAATTTCGCCACCACTGAAAGAAAGAAATCTGCATTTACCAGAACTGCCAATATTTATGTTAACTATGATGTGAAAATAAAATCCACAGACTCTTAAATATGAATAAGAAAATGACATCTGGAAAGATCCCTTAGCTAACCCCTTTAACAGAATAAAACAAATTTATGATTATTCTAAAACTTATACACTGATCTCCTCACATGTACAAGAAGTCTTGATATATTTACTTGGAAATCTCACACTTTACTGGTATAGATGATCTTTAAATAAATGGACATAGAAATGTAAGTTGATTGGGAAATAACTTGACCAAATAATTATGCCACCCAGTTGCATATAAACATGCATAGCTCAGAGGGGAATATTTTAAAAGGTCAACACATAATTATTCAGTGGAAAAATGTAACTCCACTTATCAAAGATAGAAAAACAATATATGGCAATCAATTTTTGATCATTACATGACCTGTTATGGTACTACTCAATATACAGTATGTTAGGAAATAAGGATGTGTATTACAGGAAAAGCAAAATTTAACCTTGCCTATGGCCCTGACATCATCTGCTTTTTAGAAAATATTATGTTTTCTTATGGAGTTTGAGGAGAAAATAACTTTAATTAAGCTTACCTCATTCAACTTCTTTTGAAGAATTTTACAGATGATATATGCAACACTCTCTTTCACCTTTATTACTCCTGGACCTAAACATAGAGTAACTGTACATTATTTTGCAGTAAGCAGCATCTGAAAACATGTCTCTGAAAGCACATTACTCTCTCTATGTATAAATGGTTTATAAATGGTTACTGGCAAAAAAGATGATTAAAAATTAGTATTACAAAATTATAGGAAGTAATAGGAATGGCAGCAGGGTGTGGTCAAAATATAGATTCAGTTCCATCTGGTTTTCATGTGTCTTGAGCATACCATCTTGTCTTTTATTAACCATATCTGGGAAGTTACCCATGCCAAATAAAAAAAAACATTAATGTTCTCTATTAAATTTTCATAAGAAGTAGTTCTGGTCTTCAGTTCCCTGAACTTTTAAATATTTTGTTTGTATTAGTGGTTCCTTCTATTAATAAGAAAAATATTGCTTTTTAAATGCCTTTAAAATGTGCTTATACCTATTTATATGACCTGATTCCAGTTCACACTATTTATATAAAGTTTTATAAAATGTTACTTTACATGCAAAAAAAAAGAGGCAAAAAAGGGAAGAAAAATAAGTATGTACATATTAACAAGTATAAGTACTTCCATATATTAATAAAACATATTCCACCACATATATTCATCTTGGGATGTACAGTTAAATTATTAACAATTATAGGGAGTATAACAACAGGGAGAAATGGGAAATTAAAAGAGAAAGTAGTATATGCAGTTCTAATTTTTTAGATTCTCAACAATAATGGTGATGATGACTTTTTCAGAAGGTTGGATAATGGACAGCGTTTTTGTGTGTGATGGGTGGTTATATAAATGTGAGTAATAAATTAATAATTATTATTCCATCAAGGACAAAGGGTTGAAATACATGTACAGGTAGTCCTTGACTTACAACAGTTCATTTAGCGACCATTCAAAATTACAACACCACTGAAAAAAGTGACTTATGACCATTTTTCACAGCATCTTTGCAGCATCTCCATGATTATGTGATCAAAATTCAGATGCTTGGTAACTGGTTCATATTTATGACTGCTGCTGTGTCCTAAGGTCATATGATCCTTTTTTGCTACCTTTTCACAAGGAAAGTCAATGGGGAAGCCAGGTCCATTTAACAACCGGGTAGCTAACTTTTCAACTGCAATGATTCATTTAACAACTATGACAAGAAAAGTCATAAAATGGGGCAAAACTCACTTAACAAATGTCTCACTTAACGATAGAAATTTTTGAGCTTAGTTGTGGTCGTAAATTGAGGACTACCTGTATGCCTATTCTGATAAAATTGCACAATGCTCCTTTCTCCCACCTTCCCTTTAAATGTTCAGAGTTTTGTTTCCAAATAACTTGGACAGCCTATATTGTCTGCCTGTAATCGGCAATACTTTTGCCCAATTTTTTGAAAATGAAACTGAGTGGATGGGTGGGTGGATGGATGGGTGGATGGAGAGATAAATACAAGTAGTGTAGTTGCCCTGATGCTGACACCCAGATTTCAGGTCACGTCTTTACTGCGATGACGCCTCAGGGGAACCTGCCAACAATTCTGCAGATCATCAACGTGGGTAGCCCGGCATCTGCCGTGCCGCAGCGATCCGGACACCGCCGCCGTCTTTCCAGGCAGTTGACACCCACCCGTTCGCCCTTCACAAGACGAAGACTCATCAGCCCCGACGTACCAGAGCATCGCTCATCCTTGACTCACTCAAAAAAGGAATTTAGGCAGCCAATGGGCTTCGCGCAGGCGGGGCCAGGGGCGGGGATAAGACACGCCGCGCGGAAAATCCCAGGATGGAAAAGCTTGACAGGTCTTCCACGAGGCAGTGTAGTTTTGGCTGGACAGCGACCCGGCGGGAACTCGATTGCTCTCTTCCCGGCGCAGGCGGTAAGTATTTCTTGAGGGGCTGTTTTCCCAGATGGGGGCTATGGGAGCTGTCCTCTGCTTGAAGGAGTCTTTATTGCATAGTCCCAAACCATGACAATCATTCCCTTCGCTGGGAAGCTATTTTGTATCTATGTACTAACTACTGGCTAGTTTGATAACGCTTTGAGTCAAAGGTTGTTCTCCCTTGGAATTCAGTATACCGAGGTATCAGCACCCCGAACTCTGCTTTCTCAGGAGAATGATGGAGAAATAGGATCTGAGTACAGTTTAGTTATCACACCTATAGCCGGAGAAGAAAGGGCTACCATAATCTGTCAAGAAGCTGGAAAACCTCTCTTATGAAGAAATGACAACCGCAATGTGTGTGTGTGGCTTTGGGGCTTAGCAAAGAGGTTGAGATGGAAGTGAGGGCAGAGATATGTATGATTTTTGTTGGGAGTTGAGCAATAGAAATCACCCAGGCTGACCATGAGAAAACTGGAAACAAGCAAGAGGAAGTTTTAAAGGCAACACAGAATTCAGCTGTAGTATTTGCTACAGGATGCAGCTAATAGCTACTATCTAGAGAGCTTTAAATGGTTGATAAAAATTCATGAAAAAATAAGATTATCTGGGGCTACTAATCATGCTAGTGATTACATAACTGATTTCCTACTTTGGGAACAGATTGGACCTGAAGTGGCTCTTTCTTATATTCTACAGAATTTCAGTAGACCATTTTACTTCTATATTAGGTATGTCCTGTCCATGATTTTTAAAGCTGATAGGTTTTACTACAACACTGCAATTCTATTGTGAAAGTTTGTTATAAGAAAAAAATCTTTTCAGTTTTTGGTTATTTTTAAAATGTTATTTGTATAAGAATCTTCATTCTGAAAGAGATGATATATTCACAAATTACCCATGAAATAAGAACTTGCACTGGACATTTTTTCAATAAATATTTTAAACTCAGGCTTTCAATAGGATTAAGTTTATTTTTCTTAGCTGGTTACTTTCAAAGCTTCTCCTTGTACTTATTGATGCTTAACAGGAATGCCTACTATAGTTTAAAAATATTTTGTAACTTTAAAGGAAATATATAACACAATATATAAATAAATATAATCTGCATTATACTCCTTATAATGTTTTAACCTGGATATGTATTTAAACTGTGCATATTGGTATTGTTGTGTTCCTTAATTCACACATTTACACATGATGAAATTATTAACTTTTGGACATAAAATTTTATTCTAGGACAATATTTGTGCCTTTTCCTAAACTGATTCAAAATGAATATTGTTCCTTTATTGTCATGAGGTAAATAGCTTAGGGGTACCCACCAAGGGTATCAGATTGATTCTCCCATAATCCCTAGTTAGCAAGTTTCTGGTTTGTTTTTCTAGACATATTTATTCCATTTGGAGAGTATCTGATTGGAGAAAACTAGCTTATCTTGTAAACAAAGTCATTTGGATTTAGATGATTATTTAAAATCTTCAATGGTATAATCCTGTGTGTGTTTTTTTAAAATGGATTTCTTCAACAGTTTATTGTGAAGGTGAAGGACTCCACTTTTAAAACAGATCTGCTTTCAGTCTAAAGTTTAGATTCTAACCTCATTACAGTTCTTATTTGAATTTTAGAGGTCTCTGACTCTGTTTTCTGCATGCACTTCATTTTTCTTTTTTTAGCACAGTATTTTTCAAACCAGCAATAAGAGTATTCAAGGCTCAAAGTTTTCTGAAAGATGAAGAAAAGCTCATAAGTATCATTCAAAGATGCCAGGCCAGGATACTATAGTCCTAGATATCTCCACCTTGAATTTAAATAATGGCCCACCAACAAGGGGTATATGTGGAATTGGGAAGTAGTATAGGGTGGGAGGTGAGGGAATATAAGGAGGTCCAAAGGAGTTCTCTCAGCTCAAAAAATGTGATGTGAAAATGTAAAAAGAGAAGGAAGTAAATTTAGAAGGTCAGCAAGCACAGGTGAATAAAGATGAAAGAGTATGCCAATAGCAGTGTTTATTGTATGAGGTAATTCAGGCTAGATGCTTAAATCTGTGACTTCTGCTGTTAGGATAGAACATTAGGTCCAGAGCCTCTCAGGCCTGGATAATTACAGTATACCACATGATTGCTCGGAAACAAAAGTATGGTATCTGGACTGGCACAGACATGCTGACATTTTTACCTTGCTGATGAAATTCTTCAAGGCAGCATAATTTTTAACTTCTCTTTTTAAAAACCACTTTATAGCAAAGGGACAGCTAGTCAGGCAGACAGAGTTACAGATAATAATTTTGTTTTTATCTTAAGGACATGTTATTTTCTGCAACAAAACAATGTTCGTTCTCAAATAAATGTTTTTAGTAATCCTAAAGCAGAAGTAAATTCCAGTGGTTGTATTGGTACTATACTTGATCTTGGATTAAAATGAGATATAGGTTTGCACATACTCAAGAGGATGTCTTTTTAAGGTTCAGCTCTTTGCTCTAGTATATCAGGAAGCAGTTGTAAAATATGGAATGAAAGTTGAGGGAACCGAAATGTTAGTTGAATGCTACATAGTCTAAGTACTATAACATGGAAGAATTGTAAAAGACTGTATGTCCCAGACATTTGTTGGAGTCTGTCTGCAGAAGGGAGAGTTGGGGCAGAATGTGAACGATCCCGAAGTTGCCGTAAACTAGCATCTATTAAAGTTGCACAGTTTGCCACTTGATGGAGTCCCTTCAAGATCATCCTTGCCAAAGATGGAGAGATGTTACAGTTACCTGTCTGGGCCACAAGTTAAGGCAAATATGATTAAAAAATAGCAAGTGTTACTCTTACTGAAATTCAACAAAAATATGAAGAGGAATACAACTTAGTTTTTCTGGAACCCAGTGTGTGTGTGTGGGGGGGAGTGTTTACTAATTATTCTTACATGATAGGTCTCAGATTACAGCTACTAATTTTAATTTTATATAACTACTAATTTGCTAGAGATTATGCTTCAATGAACTCAAGTGACTCTTATTTCTGAGTATGGAAGAATAGGATGCTGCTGATAGTAATTTAAGAAACAATGACCATATAATAACAAGAAGCAATGACCATATTTTCTTCATGAGCAATAACAAAGTTATTTAATTTTTAGTGTAGTAATTAATATGTTTAATTTATTAGGATTTTAATTTATTTTAATTTTTAAAATGTTCATATTTTAAAAGCAATATACTTTATGATTTTGGAACTTTCTTCCAATTCCTATCTAGTTTTAAGATTTCTAGGAAAGGTCTCAGAATGTATGGAAAAAAACACTAGGTCAGAACTAGCAATCAATTGTTTTGTTATTTGGAACGCTATTTTAAATTCTGCACACATTTTTTGTTTGTTATAAATTGTAACATTTGCATTTCAGCATTTTATATGCCTGGGCATGAATATGCATAGATACACCTCATAGAAAATGTATAGAATAAAAATAAAGAATCTGGGATATGCTGAGAATTTGTGCTCAGTAATTGGATATGTCATGTTAATATTTGTGTAATCAATTTTATTATGTAATACATCTAGCACTTATGAGCATGAAAATCATGAGGCTTTGTGTCACTTAATAGTACATGCCTTACAAGGGTGATCAAGTGACTAGATAATACAGATACTCTAACTTCAGAATATACAATACTCTCTGTGCTTAGTCATATTACATCAGCGCATATTTTGCTTCTTAGCTGTTACAAGACAATTAAGAGATTAACATGGAAAATTACACATTGTATCTTATGACTTGTATTACCCTGGTAATCTATGAGTTTAAAAAATATTGAAAGGGATAAATGGTGATATTTGGCATTAGATACAAAATATAAATACAGTTAAGCAGTTAACGTGTTTTCCACACCTTCACCTGGATAGCTAAATTATTTGACAAGTCTAGTAATCATTTCATTTAATTTACTTTAGATGCAATCTGTGTCCTAGTTTTTGCTATCTTTTGGCATATACATAGCCTCCAATCCTCTCATATCTTTTGCTTTAAAAAAGTTGTGTGCTCCTGGGTTAATTATTTTAGGCAACAGAGCCATTTATCTGAATTTCTCTCTTATTGAAACAAGCTAGCGTCTTACTGTTTCTTAGTCATGCTCATATGTATGATGGAGGTGTAATCATCTCAGCTTACAAAAAATAAAACCTAGGTTTTATGTTCTCTGCCAGATGATGCCTTATTTTTAAATGTCCCTAGCAGGAAGACTGTTGACATGAGGCTTGAAAGAAGGAATTAAATGTTTTTCTATTAATCAATCCCTCAGTTAAAGTCATCCACCCCACTCAGCTTCCCCCCCTCAGGACTGTTGACTGCCTCATTAAATAAAATGTGTGATTCAAATTAGAAGGAAATTGGGATTTTCAGATAAAAAACAATGAACAGGAGAAATATGTAAATACCCTTTTCCAATAAAGCTCAGATGCATGCAGTTAACTGCAGATCAATAGTGACTGTCTGAAGAAACCCTTGGAGACTTAAAAAATGATTGGTTAATTCTAAGGTGGCCCCGAAGGAACACTTACATTTAGTGTATTTAATTGAAATCTAAGTCAGCATTTGCCTAATTGTTGTGAGTCCCCTCTAACCACAGTAGTCTTGTTGTCCTCCTAAATCTAAGAGCTAGTGATAGATCAAGTAAGCACTAATTCTATTTCTTTAAAAACGGGAGCCTGAGTAAGACTTGATAAGTGTTTTTGGAAGGTCCTGTTCAGGTGTATATGTAGGCCAATGGCTTCTCTGGAAGCAGATATCCAATCTCACCTGAGGTCCAACACAAAAAAGCCATGTAGAACAATACTAAACCATCAGAGAGGAGGGGGCCAGCTTAAAGTGACCAATTTGGCATGTGATCCCAGCCCTCACAAAATGTCATTGTTTGACTGTCAAGAAGAACAAATGCTTCTGAGAAACTACAGCTATAGACCAATGCGAGTTGCCTCTGCAGTGGGCTGGGAACAAGATAAAGACACTATCACAAGGATACATTCTCTGAGAGCGGTTAGTGTGATGTCTTTAAAATTAGAAGGATGTGACAATGAGTTCTATAAGAGCCCGCCCAAAGAGCTGTGCTGTTACAGCATCACTAGACAAAGTTATACACAGTAGCAGTTTGGTTAGTTTGGGGCTTTAGTGATGAAAAACAGAACTGCCTAGCTGTGAGCAGAAAAGCAGCTGCAGAGGAAATTCATGTATGATTATCTTAAAATTTCATACTGAGAATTTCATACTGAGAATGAAACGCTAGACGATACCAGCAAATTCAATTTCCAATGGGAGAGATTTCTGAAGCAGAATGTGGGCTAAATTATTAACCATTTAAATCAGGAATCCCCAAACTCATGAACCTCTTTCTGAATTACTCATCAACCCCCAAACATTTATTATAGGGGATGTGATGATTATGAAAAATGTATATGAAAATAATTTAATAAATACTACTTTAATAACTCTTTGAAAAACAATAATGACTTCATAAACATAGGTAATAATTTAAAATATGAAAGTTATCAAATTTAAAATAACTTTTTTTACTGAAGCTGCTAATATCATAAATAGATGGGATGCATCTGATGAACATCAATAATGGTACTGACATATGGATGGAGATTGGTGTCTTTCAGTAGTCACCAGGCTCTTCTAGATTCAGTTTGTTCCTATTAATTACCACACATTTACTGATTCCCCTCGACACTTCCAGCCATTTATCAACTCCAGAGTTGCTGATATTGACCACTTTGGGGAATTCCAATTTAAATCAATGCCAAATCTTACAGAATACAAGCTAAAATCCAGTGGAAAGGGATGGGATGAGATTAGTGAAAGGTCAATTAGAAGGAGAGAAATCAGGGTTTCCTCCTCGTTTCTGCTTTAATCAATTCTATTCTTACTTGATTTTCCTTTTATTTATCGTATAAGCTGTGCCTCTTCTATATTTCTACAAAAATGTTTTTTTTCCTTACGTTATTAGACTTTCTAGAGATCCAGATGGTAGGCATTCACTTTTCAAAAACAGAAATATAATTGTATATGTTCTAAATTCTAAGAATTGTAAATATTCTAATTTTGTATTGTTCCTGGATTTTGAATTTTGGATGGCCAATGCAAACTATAAGTGTATCATGTGCATTTGAAGCCTATCTCATTGAAACAATTCACAGAGAGCCCAAAAATTTTCAAATATTTTGTGGCTGTAATGTTAGTGCAACATAATCCTCACGACTTTCAAAATGTGCACTGTGGGTTGTTCCTGCATGAAGATGTGATTAGCAATATTTCCTTTAGCTAATGAGTCAGGTTGCCAGTGGTTTACCTATGAATTTAGGATTTAGTCAGATGTGTGATGTATTATGGATTGTACCGTCTCATATAACACGGTTAGAAGCTTTCCTTTTGTTTTTCTTCTAAACCACATATATCTATGTAGCTCCCACAGACCTCTCAAAGTCCTTATCAAACTGCCATTTGTATGGTGAGGAAAAAGGCATATGATTAACTTGACAGGAAACTAAGCATTGGAAATATATTTAATTTTAACTATAAGTGAATTTAATTTACATACTGGCTCATATTTTGAAATGGGATGGACTCAAAGGCTGAGGGTGAATCTTACTAGAAAATCCTTTACTTCACAGTTGTAAAGAGAAACTATCTACACAATGATAGACCTATAGTGCTAGAAGGGGAGTTGTTTAGACCAGCATTTCTCAACCTTAGCAACTTTAATATGTATGGAATCCTGAGAATCAGTCCATATACATTTTATAGTTGCCAAGGTTGAGTATCACTGCATTAGACCGTTGAGTCTTGTTGAGAATCTTGAAATTAATGCTGGATTCCAAATAGCATTCCTGGCAAATAGTTATCTAACCTCCTTTTGAACTCATCCAATGGAAGAACCAAAGGAGTTTCTCTGGGTCCACCTTTAAGTTGCTCTTACATTAGGGAAGCTTTGCTAATAATCTGCTGGCATCTACTTCCTATAATTTAAATTTGATTTTTCCGACTTATGATCTGGAATGCTTGGGAACATGGCTTGGCCTCATACAATATGGCATACCTTCAGGTTTTTAAAAAGTACTATCATATCCTCCTCAGCTTTAGTGCTAAACATTGCAAATACTTTCATTCTCTTTTCACAGGATTTAATTACTAGTTCCTGAATCATCCTGGTTGCCCTTCTGTGAAGTAGTTCCAGTTTGTCCGAATCCTTCTTAAATGGTGGTCTTCAGAACTGTATTTAATAGTTGAGGTGAAATCTCACCAGTGCAGGTATATTTGCAATGCCTTGCAGTGGCAAATTTCCTCCTTGTTACTGCAACAATGATTATTTTCAGAGTAGTGCACGTCTTGATTTTTGTTTCAAAAAAAGAAACATATTGTGCTGTGAATACTGAGTGGAAGGACAGAGGTTTCTTGAGTAACATGTTAAATGTAGAGGTAGCATGAAAAATGTGGTAAGAGTAAGGAATGCAGTTTGACTGGAAAGATGGAAGCATCACTCTCAACTTGGTGTAACCTTAGTGTTTATTTGTGGATACCTAGATCCTCTTGTACTCTATGTACATGAATCTAGTACAACTCTGCTGTTGTTTATTACAAGATTTTACTTTAAATGCATTTTCTTATGAAACATCAGCAGTGGATATTTGGTGGGCTAAAAAAGGATGTTTACTGAGAAGCCAGATGTTGGATACACATTTTTAAAATAGTCATTTTACTAAATAAAGTAAATTTGAAATAGTCTAATTAATGAAATGTTATTGTAAAATTGTGAATGTGTTAACTATCACAATGTTTAATGTGTCTGTAGACACGATTAATTTATGGTGCTGCATCTGCTTTCTAGTTATCAAGCACTTTAATGTTTAAAAAAGTAAATAAAAATTAGTATATAATGTTACTAAATAAAAGCTGAGCAATTTACAGAATCAGCATATTGCCCCAACATTTTGGGGCCTCATTTTACTAACCTTAGAAGAATAGAAGGCTGAGTCAACCTTGAGCCGGTAAGGATCAAATTCCTGGCAGTGAACAGAGTCAGCCGGCAATACTACAATCTAACCACTGCGCCACCACGGCTCTTATGATGTTTGATTGACCAACATAACTATCCCAGTAAAGTAGGGGTCCCCAAAGTGATCAATATTGACTTCCAATGGTCAATGTGACTATTCAAAGTCATTATTACTGATAGTATTATTACTTAAAGTAGTATGGGGGTCAATGAACAATTTGAAATTTCATGAAGGGGTCAGTGAGCTGAAAAGTTTGGGGATCTCTTCAGTAAATCATTAGCATATTTTATGTTAATGAAGTGGCCTCTTAATTAATTCTGGATTATGGGTTCATGTCTAAGAGATTTGAGCTGTAGCTATTATCCTTATAAACTCAAACTCTGACCAGATGGAAGTATTTATTTTCCAGCTGCCACTTGGTGTCCAAATGAAGCAGTCTACTGTAGTGGACTGAATGTAGTGCTAAGGTAAGACCAAACCTGAAGCCCAGTCCGGCTTTTAAACTGATCCATTCACTATTCACTCACCCCAGCCTATTTTTCAGAACTGTAATCATCCTGAAATCTTCAGATGAATAAAAGTTAAATGGGTAAATGATGTAGTGGAAGACCTTGGATGATAAGTAACCAGTAATATCTTAAATATTTAACTGACTTTTCAAAACTGGACATAAAACAATAAGTAGACAAGTTTATGAGACCAGCTCTTTTGAAGTAGTTACAGGTGAAAGTGCATAAAAACAAAAAATACCTCCTGGAGAAATCTTAAAATAACTCCAATATCAATAAGATTTTCCCCAGGTTTTTGCTTTAAACTACAGTCATGTGGGAATTTCTGCTTTTATACAGAATTAATGTACAGAAAACCTCTTGGTTTTGATACACATTAGTTTTGTTTTCTATTTGAAGAGCAGTATACATTTCTGTGATTTACAATACTTCTCAGCCTAGTATCCTCTACATATACCAGTGAATAGTTGCTCAATAAGAATACCTAGAGTATAATTCATACTTGGAGGGCCTTAGAATGGGAAAGATTGATTTAAATATTTCTTAATTCTACAACAGAGATCTATAAATATTCTAATTTATCAGTAGGACAAACGGATTCATGAAATTCAGTAATTAATCAGACAGTGTCTTTCTGATAGTGTCTTTCTGATTAATATGGAAATATATATCAAACTTCATTTCATATATGGTAATTAAAAGAAATCTGTCTTCATCTCTGCTATCTGACTTATTTGCTTTTTCTTCCTAGGACAAAAATGAGAGACAGACTCTTGGAGTTTTATGAATTATCTAGGCTGTACAGCCAACGCATTGGAGATGATGAGGATGACTTCCAAAGACCTCATGAAATGCTTCTTTTTGAAACTGATCATGCCATAGCAAATCTTTACAAAAACATTCAAGAGATTCGAACAAGCATTCACTGCCTGAAGGAAGATGTGAAACGCTTGCGCAAACAAAACAGTCGCTTCCTGACATCAATGCGTCGTTTCAGCAGCATAAAGCGAGATACAAACACCATAGCAAAGAACATTAAGGCCCGTGGAGAAGAGATCCACAGAAAACTTCAGGTTCTGAGAGATCTGAGTGAAGATGCGGAAACAAAATATGGTGAAAATGCAATTGTAACCCGTGTATGCAAGGACCACTATGTCGACCTCATGCACGCTTTTCAGGAAGCCATGTTTAATTACAATGAAACTGAAATGAAAGAGCGAGACAATTGCAAAATTAGGATTCAGCGGCAGCTGGAAATCATGGGCAAAGATGTATCTGGGAACCAGATAGAGGACATAATTGAGCAAGGCCGATGGGATGTATTCTCTGAGAACCTGCTGTCCGACACCAAAGGAGCTCGCTCTGCCTTGAATGAGATAGAAACACGGCACAAAGAGCTGATGAAGCTTGAATCGCGAATCAGAGAGGTCCATGAACTTTTCCTACAGGTAGCATTGCTGGTGGAAGAGCAGGCTGACACCTTTGATGTCATTGCGTTCAACATGCAGAATGTCCAAGAATATGTTGGGGAAGCTAAAGAGGAAGTGAGAAAAGCACTTGAATACCGGAGAAAACATCCTTGCCGAACAATCCTTTGCTGCTGTTTATCATGCCTTAAAGGCTAGCTGCCCTCTTGAAGCCACTTGATCAGTGTTATGGGAACACTTATAATTTGTGCTCATCTCTTTATGGTTATCATATTTATTATTAATTAGATAGGTGTGTGTTTCTCATTAGATATGTGTATGAGAACCAAAGGATACTAGCAGTATGATACATACCGAAGTTGGGAACCTGTGACTCCGTAGATGTTGTTGGACTACATCAGGGATGTCAACCTCGTGACATCGCACAACATATCAGGCTGGTTTTGCCATTGCCGGCAATGGGGTGGACGCGGCTTCAGTATGATGAAACCGGCCCACGGGCTGGCAGTTTGATACTCCTGAACTACATCATATCTGATAATTAGCTAAGCTGCTGGATAGACATGGAGTATGGAAACATCCAAAGAGCCACAGATTCCTGGCCATTCATATATTTCAACTCATGTAATAAGAAACCAGATTAATGACCCCCATATAACTACCAAAATGAAAGGCATACCAGAACGTATATAAAACCTTGGAAAATGTTGATGAGGTGGGTAATAAATTATTCCCAAATAAATACATCCTATGGATTTTTAAGGGAGCAATTGCAATTGCCAGGTTTTTTTTTTCTTGGAGAAAATAAATATGGAAGAAATTATGAACCCTAATTATAAATTATATATAAACTGTATTACATGGATAATGCAGTTTAGACATCTAGTAGTCATAGCTGATTTTAGAGTTTTGATAAAATAGTATACATTTCTAAAATGCATTGTTATAAAATTAAATGAGAAAAATATTTATTCTGATTATTATATGAAGATAGTCCTTGCTTTCTGCCCCAGATTGTCAGGGAAAAAATTGTTGATAATAGAATCCAAGTGATAGGCCAACAACCCCAAAATATGAAAATGAGGTCTCATTTATACAATATGTCAAAGTTAGATTGAAGCTATTAACTCTGGAGCTAATAGCAGCCTAGAAGTCTTACAGGAATGACAAGTAGAGGGGATCAGAAATCAGATATTGTGAACTTGTTTGGCTATATCTTGTGCAAGCGTGCACAAGGGACTGCCTGCAACCTGTTAGCATCCCTTTTGTGGCCTCAGCAGATCCCTATAGCAGATGGAATTTGACTGATTCTTTAGCCTTTGTTTGAATTTTAGCAGACTGTGTCTGAAGGAGCAAAAGGGATGCTTTCATTTGTATATTGGCTAGGGTCTCTAGGGGAGATTAGAAAAACTACATTAACTTATTAAGTCCAGAAAAAATATCCAAAGCAATTGATCTTCCATGCTTAAGATTTGTTTTAGTCACGCTAGTATATCTGTCTGTTTTTGAGGATGGTCAGAACAGAAAAAGCTAAAACCAAGAACCTCCTTCATTTAAAAAAGAATAATAGGATTCCGTTCATAACTCTGAGACTTGGGTGTGAAATTCAGGCTTTCGGTGTACAATGTTTCTTCAGACAAATGTAAATAAGTGATGTAAACTTAGTTGCAGTATTTTGTAAGTTTATAATAATTAAATCACTAATTAAAATATTTTTCCAAAAATTGATACTTTTTTCATTTATATATTTGCATCTTCTTTTCTAAGTGAATAATCACCATTTTTAAACAAAGAATTTTTCGAAGAGTTCTGCTACTGAAATTTATGCTTTTTTGTTAAACAGATGAACAAAACATTACAAATAAGAGTCTTCCTCTTTCTTACATATGAGAACATCAGATTCAGAGCAAACATTTCTTGTTGTCATTATGATCATTACTGTCATCCTAAACTACATATCTTTGGGTTATCAATATTCTATGAATCCTCTAGAACAGGGGTCCCCAATCCCTGGTCTGTGGCATTCCAGCAACCAATCTGCACAAACAAGCAAAGCCCCATCTGTGGGATGCAGGCAGCACACAAAACCACACACTCTCTAGTCCGTGGAAAAACCTTTCTCCACGCAACTGGTCCCTGGTGCCCAAAAGATTGGGGACCTCTGCTCTAGAAGAATACTGGGGTAGGCATCTGTGGATCCGATTTGTTTTTTTAACTGGAACCCTAAAATCCAGTAACCAACAAATAATGACGTGAAGGAAATGCACATTTCTCCTTTCGCACATGCATAATTACTTCTGTCTGCCTCCACCTTTTATTTATTTCAGCAATAATACACAATTTAAATGGAAAGATTATGGGGAGCTACATAACTGCTGATTAAGTAATGAGTCAGAAATTCTTGCTGATCTATGTAAATCCTCCAGAGGTCTATTAGCTGTCCACATTGTAGAGCACAGGATCTTTATTAACATAATTTTTTAAACTGTTTGGTTTTGGCTTTGCGCATTGTGTCAACCGAACCATTTGTGATTCCTTCAGTAGAGCATGATTAAGCCATTAATCAGTGTAATGTATGTATTCACACTGAGAATCTAAATGAATTTATGCAATGACTAAGATGTTTTACTCAGAATAAAGCACAAGTGGCTGAGTTTGAGTTAGAGATTAAGTTACAAACAAACCATATTGTGAGCCAGTTTGGTACATGAACCAGGTCTTTGTCTGAATGTGTGTTCTGCACTGTGTCTGAAATTCAGTGCATGCAGTAATAAAACATATGTATATTATTGCTTCATTTTGGCTTGCAAGTACAAAATCACGTCCCAGCCCATTTCACATATTAGAACTACATAAAAGTAAAAGCAAAGTAAATTGTTTCAACTAAGTGAATGACAAGAGTTGTACTTCTGCCTTGCCCCTCTGACCAAACAAGTACTTTCCTCTAATCAAGGGAAGAGAGGTGTAAATAAAAAACAGGGTTCAGTTTGCATACTTCGCTAAAGGTATATGGAGATGTGCAATTGTATCAGATGTGAATATGCCATAAATAGAATGAATGAATCTGGGCATCATGTGCTTACATGGAATGCTTAGGCTCTGTAGATTGTGGCAGGGCTATTTATTTATTATTATTATTATGCTGCCCATCTCCCCCTACAAGGTGACTATTTATCCATCCAATTTATATAGCCATTCATCTCACAAAACACGTGACTCTGGCCAGCAAATAACAAAGCTAAAACAATAAATACCTAAAACTATTATTATTATTATTATCATCATCATCAAAAACATTAAAATATAAAAAGAAAGCTAAGACCAGAAATAGTGGGCAAAGGGAAGTTAAAAACAACAGCAATAATAATAATGAAGCCATCTCACTAGCTCTCCAGTCCTCTGGATTCCCTAGGTTGGCTTTCATAACCAAGTCTTGGGGCTTTTGGAAGCTCAAAGTGATGGAACCAGTTTCATCTCCACAACAGTTTACAGCTCTTTAATCATGCTTAGAGCCCATACATCATTTGTCTAGCAGTTACCACAATTGGTTTGCAGGAGCAATATGTGAAGCTAGACTGGCTTACATGTTATCCAAACACAACCACTGTCATTTTCAAAGAAGGATTCACACTGTGGTAAGTCAAAAATCATTATAATAATGTTTTATTAGAGAAAGAAGTAATAATTAGAAATAAGTATATGGTGTTTAGTATTATGCATCAATCCAATCAGCATTTGTACATAGGTCAGTGTGTTTTTCATCCAATGGTACTGTAAAAAGTCGGTAGTGGTCATAGCAGCACAATCAAAACCTCTGCTTATTTTGTAGACACGTGGATGTTACACAAATATACAAAGAAGTGTTGCTTTGATCACACTGCCATCTTGACTTTTTGATTGCCCCCCCCCCCCAATTCTACTGTTCTTGTCTATGCTGTCATTTATTTCCTTATATAAAAAGTTGTGTCTCTATTCTTAGCATTCTTAGCTGATTTTGCACAAATCTGCTTGGTAACTTTCTCTGAAATGCAATGGTTTTGTATCACCTTAGTAAAAAATGACATAATAAACACTAATTTGTCTTTCCTGGACTCTATCCATAGGACCCGAAGGCCACACACAGTTGTGTCATTTCCCTAAAGAAGCACTAGATCTAATTTATCTGTCAAACATATCAATCTGTGTCATTCCCAAATGGATTACTGTAACAGAAAATTACCATAGCTCTATTAACCTTCACTAAGTCAACCTATAAAATGCAGACCACAGAGTCTCACAACAAAAAGGATATGCACTTTAAGAAACTTTTAGCAATTGGGAAATGATTTGAAATGACTTGTGCGATTGCCCGAGTCTGTTTCTTCTTTTTTGTCACATTCTTATTGAAATAATTCCCAGTTGGAATAAAATCATGACTAATGGATTCATATATTGTACTTTATTATATGTTACATTTGTATGCCATTGTTCTTGTCTCTTAGAGCTGAAAAACATGGGGCCCTATAGCCACATTCAGCCTTTGACTTCATTTCATAATTTTAGTATTTACATTATACTTTAATACAGTCAACATCCTGGATCACATAGATGTTAGTTAGCTGGTTTTGCAAATGTATTTTAATTTTGTCTTAAACTTTATTTTGTTTATCATCTGTACTGGTCTACGACAGCAATAAACTGAATTGATTGATTGATTTAACTGATTTAATTTCATGTGGACCAACATCATTTCCAAAGTTCTGTCAACTGATTATGTTAGAAAAGTTATCTGATAACCTGTTGAATGTAGAAGGAAAAAAGAGAGGAAAAAAGGGATCAAAGATCAAATGACGAGGTTAGGAAAAAAGTAAATAAGTGGCCCCCATCATCTTTGGCTCTAATTTCTGCAGAAAGCATGTGATGTAGTTCCCAGCATATTGCTCATGTGGCTATGTTGCTTTTAGCAGATTTAAAAAAAAAAGTTTGCCTAATCTATCTCTCCTTTAAGAACTCATAGTAGACATGATTCCCTCCCACTTCCTACTGATAACAATCTGTGAAGGAGGTTAAGATGGGAGATAATGAATGATGACCCCCATTTAATCAGCCTCACTGTCTAATGCAGTGTTTCTCAATCTTGGCAACTTTATGATGTATGGACTTCAACTCCCAGCATCCCCCAGCACGCAAACTGGCTGGGGAATGCTGGACCTTGAAGTCCACACATCTTAAATTTGTCAAGTTTGAAAAACTCTAGTCCAGTAGAAATGTGAAATCATTAAGATTTCTAAACTGTTATTTAACAGAGCCTATTGCTACGCAATCAAATGAAGTGTTAACATTCTCATTTTTAAAATGTGATTAACTGCAAAAATGCAACGTGTATGCATTTTTTAATTTCAATAATCAGCCACAGGAAATTGGAGGGGGAGGGGGCTTGATGGTAGAGAGCTTAATCTCTCTCTTTGCGTAGAAAATTCCCTATGGGAATATTTCTTCCTGCCTGCTTTTTGCATTGCAAGATGAACTTCAGGAAGTGGCCTTTCAGGATTGTGTCTATAGATTTTTGTAATTAAATTCTTCTCACTTGCTTTTGTCATTTTTTTTAAAAAATGCATATAATAAGCATTCATGCTCTATCTATCATGATTGACTTGGACTCTGTCACTTCAACTAAAAAGTGTTAAAACTGAGGTAAATTTAATGTTGAAGTGCCACATTACCATACACAGTAGCATAAAACCATCTGTTGATATAAAAAGCTCTTTGAGGTTTTTAGAGCCATTTCCTAACTGCCAAGTCACAAGTTATATTACATAATTGGGGGAAGGGAGAGGGGAGAACAGCCTGCAGTGAGAATTAGAATAGCAAGGTCCACATTGGATACAGAAGCACAGTTGGAATTAGTTGTGGCTTCTTACTTATAAACTGGAAGGTTACAATTTTACTCACCTCCGTATATTTTATTTGTGTTTGTATCAGAATTCCCATCAGATTATGCTCTGCTTGTTTTTAGATACATTTGCATCTCACTTATTTGTAGTTCTTTCACTTAAGGCATCCGGTTGGTTACTGTAAGGAACCAAATGTCTGATATCTATGTTAGTTCAAAGTAATTAATAACAAACAAGGTACTCCTTAACAAAACTAAAACAATTCAATGAAACTAGAGGCAATATTCATAGATAATTAGCATGTTTGCATTACTCACTACATCCCTTTCTTGGTTAATAGAAATGTGCATGCTATGATCTTTCTATTCACATAGCTCCATAAATCATGATGTTCCTATATTCTACCCCCAAATCCTATTGGGAGGGTATTCCGGGAAGGTAGATACTCCTAGCAGGATCACTTAAAGCATGAAAAGTCATCCCAGATGCCCAGCTAAAGCAAACAGCCATCTATACCGCAGCAGCAATATAGGAGAATATTGGAAGCAGATGATCACATTAGTGACAGCAGCAAAGCAATCATTTCGTATTGTGGAGAAGACAACGATGGTATACTCCTTCTATATTCTATCAAGAAAAACCCCACGGACACTATAAAATTGGAGTTGAGTGGCTAATAAATGTAAACAAACAAACAAACAAACAAATACTGATTATGTAACACCAGGTGATAGGCCTGTCAGGTCAAATGACACTCTACTACAACAGGGGTGTCAAACTGCCAATCTGCGGGCCAGATGTGTTATACCAAAACTGCACCCACCCCGTTGCCGGCAATGGGGAAAAAAGTCACGATACATTAGGACATGTCATGTGACATCGTGAGTTTGACACCCGTGCTCTACATGCTACTAAAAGAGCCGAGGATCTTTTGGAGTACTAATAGTATCTATGATGAAGCTCTATTAAAGCCTTCCAGGCCTTTGGTTGCTAATGTTGCCATGCAGGGAAAGAAAACCAAAGTTGCAAAGAAAGAATTGCCGGGCGAACACGGGACATAAGAAATAGGAACATGAAAAGTTCAACTCAGAGATAAAATATTGAGATACTAGGCATCAATAACCTGAACTGGATTGAAATTGGATACTACTTATTACATAAAAAAGAAAGAAGGAACAGCATTGTTTTCATAAGGCTGTAGCAAAGACACTGCTTAGACATAATTCAGTCAATGACTGAATAATATTTATCAGACTTCACAAACAATCCTTAGAAAAGATACTCAGGTGGCCCAACAGGTCTCTAAGATCAGAATTGCAGAGACCTAGGTATGAAACAAAGAAAATATTGAAGAACAGGATAAAAAGAATATTAGTGCTACTGAATTTTAGTGTTGGAGGAGATTCTTCAGAGTACCTTGTTTAAACCAAGAAAACAATAGAGGAAAGAATAAATTGATCTAGAGTTCTCATCTGAGGCATAAATGAATAGATTCAAATTATATTTTGGGCAGGCAAAGAGCAAGCTTCCTTGAGAAGTCAATAATGGTGGAAGGTTAAGGAAGAGGATGAATAACAATACAGGGGATGGACTCAATTATAGCAATAACTATAATTATGCTTCCAATGGTGCACCATTGGAAGATATAAAGGGCCAGATTGAGGACAAAACATCCTGGAGAAGGTGGTTGTTAAGAGTCTCTTACTGTTTTTCTACTTCTCTTCTGGCTGTATAATACAGGCAGGCCTTGACTCACAACAGTTCATTTAGTGTCCATTTGATGTTATAACTACACTGAAAAAAGTGACTTAGGACCGTTTTTAATACAACCATTGCAGCATCCCTTGCAACTGACTCATGTTTATGACGGTTTCAGTGTCCTGCGGTCATGTGATCCCCTTTTGCGACCTTCTGACAAGCAAAGTCAATGTAGAAGTCAAATTCACTTAACAACCATTTTACTAAATTAACAAAAGCAGTGATTTACTTAACAAATGTGGCAAGAAAGGTCATAAAATGGGGCAAAACTCACTTAGCAAATTCCTCATTTAGCAGCATAAATTCTGGGCTCAGTTATGGTCATTGAAGACTACTTGTATTTCTTAAGAAAGAAAAGAGAGAACAGTTAAATAACACTTTTTAACTAATAGGTTTAGGAGATTTCGGTTCAGGAAAAATCCAGAGTGATTAATTTTTGCACACACTATAAAATACCTAATACATACACAAAACTTCCCAAATAGTCTTTTTTAAAACAATATTTACATCAGAAACTTAAAGCAAGAATTGTAAAAACAGAAGTTAGACTTGAAATTTTGAGCTTCTGATAATATATCAGTAAATATAAATATAGGACAAATATGGGAGAACTCAACCAATATTTACAAAATACATTTGGGCAATGCCTCAACAGGAACAATTCAGTTTACTTCTACACAATTCATTACTGAGTTTGAATTCTTTTTTTTTTTTCTCGTGTTACTTGCTTCCTTTTTCACTCACACTGTGAAACTGGAATGGGGACAGGGCTTTATTTATTCATTTATTTTGACATATGTTATTCTGTAAACTAGCTACATTTCATTTTTTTACATAAGTTATTCTGTAAACAAGCCAATAAGCTTTTGCATAAAAAGTTTGGGACTATCTTAATCCTGAAGCAGAAACACACAGATTGAAGAAGAAGGAATGCAAAGAGCTATTTTATTCAGTAGATTAGCATTAGGGTTCTTTCCCCAAGGAACTAGATTCATGCTCCATTATATTAGAAAAAAATTCTGAAAGCTCTGTCACTTTCAAAAGCAGCTGTATGGCCGATATCAAAAGGGACCGGAGGGAAGCCAAGAGGTTTTGATCAACTATCCCATAGCCCATATCTCCTCTCCTCTCCTCATAGAGGCCACATATTTATTTAGATCTATATTTAATATTCTATTTCAGTATTAAATGTTCAAACTAGCATATTTCACCAGAAAAATTAGTATTAAAAGTACAAGCAAGGGAAATACAGGTAATCCTCAACTTACAACCACAATAGAGCCCAAATTTTCCGTTGTTGCTAAGTGTTGTTAAGTGAGTTGTGCCCCATTTTACAACTTTTGCCAGGGTTGCTAAATGAATCACTATAATTAAGTGAATCGAATGGTCATTAAGTGAATCTAGCTTCCCCCATTAACTTGGCTTGTCAGAAGCCAGCTGAGAAAGTTAGAAATGGTGTTTACGTGATCCCAGGGCAGTGCAACTATCATTAAATACATGCAGTTACCAAGAACCAGAATTTTGATCACGTGACACTGGAGATGCTGCAACAGTTGTGTGAAAACTGGTCATAAGTCACTTTTTTCAGTGAATTTTGACCGGTCATTAAACAATTGGTTGTAAGTTCAGTACTATTATCAAAAAAGTGGGACAGGAAGAATAAACATATCCTCAGGTAAGAATCATGAAAGCAAGGTGGAATAGATTAGGTTCAGGAAAATACTTTTTCCAGAAGTCAGCAAAGCTTCACAAATTCTCTTATGCACATCTCTTGGGATGTGTTTAGTCTCACCTTAACTGTTCTGAACTCAGCCAAACCACTACTAAACCAACTTTAGTTAGCTTGCTGTGCCCAAGCCAGCCAAGAGTGGCAGAGTCTTCTAAAACAAACCTGGGCTTTACAACAATGTGTGAACCCTAACATTTAATTACGTCACTGGCCATGTAATCAGCCCAACCTTCCTTTGTGCGACTTGCTGGCAACGAAGAAAGGTTGTAGTTTTAAAAGCCGCCTTCGCGAAATCTGCTAAAGGTTCACCCTTTCTATTTCATCCTTGCTTGAGGAGGGTACTTCCGACCGCTCGCGTGCCTTTTGATTCCGTTGAAGTCCAGGTTGTACTTCCTCTCTTTCTGCGCCCTCCCGCGCGCCGAGTAAAGAACGCTTAAAGCGGGCGGAGGGAGAAGAAAAGGAAGAAGCCGCCGAGCGCGGTTAAATCTCCTCCCCTCGCCCATAGGTTGGACTCAAGCGGGGGCCACCGTACCTTGGAAAGGAGCAGGCAAAAAAAGACGAGACAGTGACCCAGCAGTTCGCTCTATGTAAGAGTGCCTGCTGATGGGGTTTACAACCGTACCAGGATGGCCGAGTGGTTAAGGCGTTGGACTTAAGATCCAATGGACGCATGTCCGCGTGGGTTCGAACCCCACTCCTGGTAGTTGGTTTTTTTCTGCCTCGGTCTTCTTAAATTAAAGAGGAAACGGATAAACTACGTAGAAGACATCAGGTGAGGCTTCTGCCTTTGAACGGACGCCCAGCAGGACTGAGCCGCCATTTGAGCGAATCCTCCACCGTCCCCTGCTTGGTGCCTCTTCTCTGCCGCGATAACTGAAAGCAACGCCAGTCTGGGTTGCACGAAAATGAAATCGTGTCATTTTCACGAGGCTCCACGTAAATATATGAACGAAACCGCTCCTCTTCCCCCCACTCCCCATCGTCCTCCCCCACTCCGTGGCTCAGCTCAGTGCAAAGCGCGGCGGATGGGGGTGCAGAAACCACCAATTTTAAAGTGTCAATACTGTACAATTTGAAGAGGAAGTGATCTGGGGGGTGGGTGGAGGGTGGCCAAGGAATTGTTTATTCCGGCGATCTTCAGTTGTGTTGGACTGCAAATACCATAATCTCTGACAAGCCCAACTACCCGTAATCTAATTTCATCTGAAGAGCATCAGAACAGAGACGAACGATTTTCTTACAGAATCTCGAGAAAGATACTTTGTAAGCAGGAGGGCTCTGATTTTCAGTCAACTAAAAAACGGTGTGGGGTGGGGGCATTCTTATATTTCTTCCTTTCCCTCTGCCCTATCAATAAAGGAGAATATTTGTATCTCAGAGTTGAAATGAGGGGTCCTTGGTGCTCTCTGAACTTGCTTGTTTTCTTGCAGACATTTCATTACCCAAACCAGGTAACATCATCATCAGTGCTTAGGCGATATCCCACATCAAAGAGGCTGTCATGTCTCTAACAAAGGCCTCCTGCCTCAGAAGTTTTTTATGTTGGAAACATTTTACTTTGAACTCCTGGCTGACCTTGTCAGATCTGCAAAAAATAATGACGGTGGAATTTGATCGTGTTCATTATATTGTGTTATATTGTACATATATATGCTTTATCATATGTTATTATGTAAATAAAATGATGACATGTATCATAATTAAATTCAATACCTCATTAAATTTACTTAGGACTACCTGCATTTGTATCCCCACTTTCCCAATCTTTCCAGCAAGGCATGAGAAGGATGGAGGACTGAGAAATAATAGGAGTGATGGCAGGGGGCTTAAGCAATCATAAGCAAACAAACATTCACCCTCTGTAAGATAGAGGCCAAAAAGAGACATCAATTTATTAATTACATTGCTTGTAAAAGTGAAAATTTAAATATCAGTCAGGGCTAGGATTTAGAACAGGTTACTTTAATAGATTTCAGTGGTTCCATGGAAGGAAAAAACTTGACACCAACCTTTAGTTGAAATTTACTTTGTCTGGTTGCTGATTTAATGTATTAATAAAGACACACTCAGCCCTCTCTCACACACACACAACGTATTTTCCATATTGTAAAAACTGTTTGAGTATAATAGATTGCCTTTGTAATACAATTTTATGTATTTTATTTTATGCATTTAAATCTGAGAAGGGATCTGCAGTTTTTGCCAGACTCTCAAAGGAATCCATGGCACGGATTGATGGTTTTATTGTGATTTTACTGTTTTTCTACACTGCTTTGAATTTATGAGAAGACCATGTAAAAAAATAAAAAAATAAAATGTTTTGGCCTGGCTCTCATGATAAGGCCCTGATACAATATAAGGTCTGCAATTAAAATGATACATCAGGGAAGTATCTAAACAGTAAGAATGCAGTCCAGAAATATCAGCATGATGAAACATCAGATGATCCATCAATTATCTAGTCAATTTATATATTATGAAGCCCATCATGAAATCTTAATTATGAATAGCAAAAGATACAGCACGAGACAAATCCAGCAGTTGGCATTTAATAATGAAGTAGAGGAATTCAACTCAATCACCTTTATTTATATTTTCCCCTATGGGTGAAGATTAGTCTGACATTTCAGCTGGGCTGTGGCTAAACTATAGTAAGCCATTCTGTATATTAATTCCTGAAATAAGACATGTTATTGTTTAGGAGAATGCAAATGTTTTCTATTAATACTTTTGCTATAGGCCAATATATGTCAACATGGCTCTGCTAGTGTTCTTTCTTTGGGAGAAGACATTGCTTTTATTTTTATTTTCTTTCATTTATTTATCAGAGCATTATTTGTCTACCTCATCAACTTTAATCTGGGGGGGGGGGACTTCAATTCCTAGAATTCTCCAAGCAGCATATTGTAGGGGAATTCTGGGAGTTGAAGTCCAAACATTGTGTGGACATTCTCTAGTCTAAAACACTGATTTAGCAATAGGCTAGATAAAAGCAAATCTCCTGCATGTAAAGCACGTATAGCTTTATACGCAAGTGTAAACATAACTACACATTTAACCAGTTCACTGCATAAGTGATTTGCTCTTTTTTTCTCAAAGCTTTGCCCCAATGATAATTCTGAGAATAAAGTAGTCTGTCCCATTTAGTACCATTTACTATAAACATTTGTCACTTTTGGAAACAGATGTTTAGGTAGGATTTAGGTAGTATTTGTTCCAGGGTGAAATTTGTATCTTCAGCAGATAAGGAAAAAAACAAAACAAAACAAAATCCATTTAGAGGAGTGACCCCTAGTGGCTCTTTGTGGTTATGAAAACTTTACAAATGCTTTGGGAAGCAAGGATTTGTAGTTTGGGCAAAATGTCCGTGAACTAACCAGGATAACATGAAAGTTTATACATATATTGAAGTGCTCCAGAATTAATTATCACAATAATATAATAGAAAAAGCAAGTTTTTGTTATGGAAAGAGAAACAGAAGAATTTGAAATTTACAACAAAATTTGTCATTTTGTTTGAAATGTTTTCAAATCTCCTGCAAATTTCTTTACAGGCAGTCCTTGACTTACAGCTACAATTGAGCTCAAAATTTCTGTCACTAAGTGAGACATTTATTAAGTGAGTTTTGCCCCATTTTACGATGCTTCTTGCCACAGTTGTTAAAGTGAATTACTACAGTTGTTAAATTAACAACACAGTTATTAAGTGAACCTGGCTTCCCCATTGACTTTTCTTGTCAGAAGGATGCAAAACACATGACCTTGGGACACTACAACTGTCATAAATATGAGTCAGTTGCCAAGCATCTGAATTTTGATCACATGACCATGGGGAAGCTATAATAACGGTTGTAAATGTGGCAAACAGTCATAGGTCACTTTTTCAATGTTGTAACTTTGAATGATCCCTAAACAAACTGTTGTAAGTCAGGGACCACCTGTGTAGGCGCCATTCACATTCCAGTGAGGCTTGGCTTTCCTCCTCAGAGACACAGCTTTATTTTGCCAGCTTCTACTTTAATTAGAACGAGGCTTCTCCCACCTTGCAGCCTTGAGGGAATTGCTAGAGTGCAATTTATTTATTTTGTGTCTACAACAAACCTTAAACTACCAAAATGAGGCCACCTTCTTGACTTTATCGTTGGCCAGAAACAAATCCCTTTCAGTGGATTATACTGTAGTGATCCACAGACCAACAAGTGGGCCAGACTCTGCGTCTCTCCACATTTGCACACTGTGTTATTATCCTCCAGCAATCTCCATTTGAGCTTGTTGGTCTTAGGCACTCCCACCCTCAACCTACTCATTGTCCTCCAAGTAACATAGAGATCAGATCTCTCAGTAGTGTCAGTTATAAAGGCAGATAGATTGCCAAGCAGCTGAATTTTGTTCACATGACTGGGGGGGGCACTATAGCAGTTATTAACTTTGGCTAAAATTCGTAAGTTCATTCAGTGCCATTGTAATTTCGAACAGTCACTGAAAGAACTGTCACAAGTGAAGAACTACCCGTTGGTAGTTGGAAGATATTATATGGGTGGAATTTTTGTTGGAAGATATTATATGGGTGGTCTGTTTCCTTTTTTCTGATATTCTGGGTTGCTGCAGTGTGTCTATATTCCTCTGAAAAATGTTCTTACACAGCTCCTCTTGTGGGAGATGGGTTGTTTATTTTGGTAATGAAGCACTTGGTTAGTATGTTTGTTTGTTTGTTTGTTTGATAAACTTGTGTTTCTGATTTGCCATCATTTGCTCTGCTAAGGATATCCAAGAAGGGTAACATGTTATTTTCTTCTTGTGAATTTTAGTGCTTTGAAGCTGTTGTTGATCCTCGACTTATAACCATTTGTTTAGTGACCATTTGAAGTTACAGTGCTAAAAAAAAAAGGGACACGACCATTTTTCACATTATGACTGTTGCAGCATTCCCACGATCATGTGCTCAACATTTGGGTGCTTGGCAACTGGCATATATTTATGACAGTTGCATTATCCCAGGGTCATGTGATCACCATTTGTAACCTTCCCAGCCGCCTTCCAACCAGTCAATAGGGGAAGCCAGTTTCACTTAACGACTGTATGACTCACTTAACAATTGCTGTCATTTGCTTAATAACAGTGGCAAAAAAGTTGTAAAATGAGGCACAACTCACTCAACAACTGTATCACCTAGCAATAGAAATTTTTGGCTCAGCTGTGGTCATAAGTTGATGGCTATCTGTAGTCTCATGTGTATTCTCTAGTTGTTTTACTTTTCTATTATGACGAAGTTGTCATCTACATACTGGGTCCATACTTTTAGTTGTATGTATGAGAATGCTATAGTTTCTAGACACTGCACAATGGTCTTTGCTGTGAATTCTGAGAATGGCAATCTCAGGGGTGTTCATCTGATTTGTTGATATATTTGTCCATCAAACTGAAAATAGTTAGTAAGACAGTGGTTGATGAGGTCCATGATTTTGGTATTTCAATCTTAGTGTATTTGGCTAGGTCAATTGTGCTGTGCAGTATGAGGCCATGGGCTCTTTCACTAGTTCTTTATCTATGTGAAGAGTTCTGTGACATCAAATGAAACTATAATTTCATCTTCTATTTTTAGGATTTTGATTAGAGGTACTGTATTGGGGAGTTGTAATGGTATGTGAGAAAGACCTTGGGAGATGGGGGGGAAACACGCTGCCTAGGAAAGATCAGATGGAGTGGAAGGATGGGAAGTGAGCTGCACAACAGGCCAATAAAAAATCCAGAAAGGATCCTTTCTATCTTACGGCTTTAAAAAGAGACGGTGGGATATTTGTATTTTCAAACTTGCAAAATTTTATTAGTCTAGCCTTACAATAATGTAAAATTAGTTCGTCAGATCATGTTCCCTTATGGTTTACCTGGAAAGACCAGGAGTTGATGGAATATTTGCTTCTGTCTGTGAGATGTCTATGCTCTTTTGTACATTTTTTGGCTATGTTGTAAGTTGTGGGTCTTTGATAACAATACAATTGGGCAAAGAGCTACATTGGTCTTATATATTTTTGTGTGTCCATAGATCTGTGGTGGAATGGGTCCACTGCTTTTGATTTACACTGTTCCTCTTGTGTTATTTGACCTTTCTTGATAAAGTCATTGATGCAAGCCCAACATACACAGTATATACTTTCTCTTCAAAGAGATGAGAGATTGGTGGGGTGGGGGTAAAGGCATATTGCATATGGCAGGCCTTTAGGTACCATGTCCAACTTCACCTTACAACCATACATTCACACATCCTCTCTCCATACCAACATAATTATTATAGACTCACTGAAACATATATTCCCACAGCAGAGCCTGCATCCAGGGATAGGTGAGTGGCATGAAGTTATAATTTTTTTTAAAGATGGTAGCTTCAACAATATGATTGAAGTCCATTCTTTTTTTTAGTATGCATCACCCATGTAAAATATGTAAATTAGGGGTATGGCTTTGATCCGTGGTGCAGTTTTTATCTTGATTTTGGGGAATCCCTCTGTGTGTGCCCCTGAACCCAAGACATAAGACCACCATCCTGCCTTGGCAGCAGCACTCCCTCAGAGGCAAGCAAAGAAAACCACTGCCCTTGCTTCATATTAGCTGCAGCGCATCTAATGGGACTGAAATGGGGCTAAAAATAACACAAGTCTTGTTTACAGGTAATCCTCAACTTATGACCACAATTGAGCCCTAA